TACAGGTGCATACCAAGCAAATATGTCGTGTAAGTTTAGATGTAGGGAGAGTTAAGTGACTGAAGATAAGCATAGTGACTGAGACAACAATAAGCTACAGCTAGGGTCTTGAATAGGAAGTACAGTAGGTGATAGAGAGTCAGTGGAGGTACTCGAGTGATAGACTTACATTCACCAAGGCCAGGACAAGTAGTCAAATAGTCAATAAGAATTTTCTTTTTTTTTTGCATTTTATAGCCCTTTTCACCCTAAAGGATCTCAAAAGGCTTTACATATACTGTAGTTGGTGGATTATGAGAATCTTAATCAAGACGAGGCAGCAGGAACAAACCAGATAAGGAAGGTGCTAGCAGTAGTAGGGAGAAGCATCAAAAGGGACATGGATGTCCTTGGCAAAGGAGAAGGGGGATAGGGTGGTGGTGGAAAAGTGAGAATAGGGGGAAGGAAAACAGAGGATGATTAGAGCACCATCCACAATTAAAATAAAACGAAAAGCAGTTTGGAGCAGATGAAAGGTCATAAGGAGCATGTGTAGGTAGGGGACCTAGGACATGGGGGACAAAATTGGAGAGAGAGTAAAGAACAGAAAATGAGCCTCACCAGAAGACCCGGCAGGTGTGAGGAGTACTAGAAATACCTAGGTCAGTGAGTGCTATCAAGAGAATAAATTGATCCACAGTGCCAAAGGAATCCGGGAATTCAAGAAAGGGTATGACAGAGAAGATGAGTGTGGCATGAGCTGAGTGAAGAGAATGAATAACACAGAGGAAGGCATGTCAGGTTGGCCACGTAAAGCCAGACTGGAGAATGCCAAGCAGCGGGGGGTGATGGAAGAGGAAAGCAGAGAGCTGGCAGTGCTCTACGTACTTGAGGCGTTCAGGGAGACCCAAAGAATAGAGACAGAGCAGTAGTTGGTTCTGTTAGTTAGGTAGAACTAGTGGTTAGTTCTGATGGGATGATGGGATGAATTATCAAGGGTAGGAGCTTTTAAGAGAAGTGTAAAGTAGACATGTACAAAACAGGATTAATACAGCCCAAATGTAGAAAGGTGTTTAGCAGAGAAGAAATATAGGGAAGGAAATTGGAGGCAGCAGCCTGGACGAGGTGAATGTTTTTGTTTTTATTTAGTCATATTTACATTTTTGTTTCAATGTTGATTGAATGAAAGTCCTACACCAAGGAAGGATATAAAGCACTGGTGCAAGGAAGAGATATCTCAGCTAGAGTCGAGCATGAAGGAGGAGATTGGAGGGGACTGAGGAGGCTAAGGGTGGAGGGTGTTGAGGGATGGTGAGTGTGGAATGTATTTTTAGGAATTTATAATAAAAGTAAATGGCAGTTGAAAGTCATTTGGGATAGCACAGCTCATGGTGTGTCAGCAATAATGGTCTATGATCTGGCATGTTTCATATATTCCTGTTAGTGGGATAGTGGGATGTACTTAGCTCTAAGACCAAGCTAAAAGTACATTTGTATACCACATTATTTAGCCAAAATTAAAGTAAATTCCTATTTATCAACATGCACACTTCACGACACACAGGATTTTTTCAATCCCCATGCCACCCGTTTTGTGCAGTAAAATGTATGATGATATTCATTCCCGAGAACTTGGCAATATGTATATGTACATACTGTATGCATATGCATGAATAGTTTTTCATACATCACTTAATTTTAAAAGGTTACTGTTGTAGTTTTTCATGTTCAAGTAATTAAATAACTTACCTTATCATTTACTGTACATTTTTTTTTATTTACTCATGTTTACATTTTTATATTGATGTTGATTGAAAGACAATTCCAAATACTTCAATTTGTAGAAGCATGTCAGGTACCACAAATTAGAACAAAAGGAAATAAGTTTTTTGTGTATACATGGAATACCTTTTGTTATTTCATTGCCTTGTGCTTGTTTCTGATAAAAATAAGCTGCAGCCTGTCGTCACCAATGGTTTGAACAGTACACAGTTTTATAGTGAGCTTGAAAGGTGTTCATTGGAGAAATAGAAGCAGTGAACTAATTTGGTGCTTATAGACCTGCTAAGAGATCACTCCTGCACCATCCAGTTCCTTGTGATGAAAAACATAAAAGACTGTTGTGGTGTCACAGTGTTTCTCTATAGCACTGACAAGATAACAATGTCAGGTTATTTTACTTGCATGTTGTTTTCAATGAAGCAATACTTTCTACTTCTTATTTTATCCTATGACCCTTAAACATGCATTTAAAAACGTAAATTAATTTCTTGAAGCAAATTAAATTACTATTATTTTATTATTTATTATGATTTACAAATGGGACATTCAGTATAAGTGAAATAATAAAGTTTGTAACTAGGATTATGAACAAAAAAATAAATCTAACTGTATATTTTTTTAATATAAAAACACTGATTGCTGTGAACAAGTAAGAATCGTGTTGGCCTAGCAAAGACAAAAACATCTAAAGTTTCAGAGAGCAAATAATTTTCTTCACATTGTTGTGACCCACTTATCAAAACTGAATTTCCAGCTTCGTCTTTTCAAGACCTAAAAACAGCAACAATATTAGCATAACATTATCACTTTATAGAACACTCTCATTATTTATTGATTGATTTTTATATTTGCTTTAAGTTACCATAAAGGTTAGGATATACTTAAAAGTATTCCCCAAATGTGTGATACATTCTGACACCACATTTAAGCAAAAGCACACTAAAGCCATTGTAATACAAAAGAATGCAGTGTGAATATTTACAGCTAACTGAGTCTGCCTTCCTGCTTAGTTGTCCCTAGGCAGATATTTGGTGTTTCATAATAATAACAATATTAATTAAAAAATGGTGAGACTTACCAGACCTTTGTATGAGCTTGATTTGATTGAATTCTTGTTTTTTGAAATTCAGTTCCTTTGCAAAGACAAATGTGGAAAATTTAATTGAATTTTAAAATGATAAAAAGGTACTTGTAGATTCACAGAACTTAATTCCAGGAAACATTTTCTTTTTTAATTATGGTAACTGTCAGGTGGTAGGACTTTACTTTTAAATTATATGAAAAGCACCCATTCTATAAATAATGAAAACTACACGATATAAATATAAATTTGTATATCTCTCATTATTTTATTTTTTTTGCTAATAGACTATAATCTCAATGTATACCTTTAAAAAGGTTAATTAGTCCTGGATTGAGTAATATTGTTTAGAAGATGTTAATTGAACTAAAGCTTGTTTCTTTGTTTTAGTTATTTAAACGTGGTGTTTTAAAAGTGTTTGCTGCTAGTTTTGGAATGATTTCTAGTTCTAATTTGATTAAACTGAATACATGATTATGACATACTCATACATTTAAATCTTGATTTTCAATATGATAACTGAACCTGACCATACCAGCATCTCACAGTGTATAACTTCATCACTTAAATACGTTAGTCATTTTGTACAGAACAGGTCAATTGGACATTGACAATGTGTTGAACAGGAGATTATGCTATTTCATACTAGGCCCTCCCACTACTGATGGAATAGCCTTTTCTCAGAGGATTTGTTGTTTAGTGAAAAGCCGGGCTCCATCATAATCAGGTCAGTAGTATCAGCCCATCTTAAATTCAGTCTTATTCACTTCTGATCCTTCTTGGTTATCATTGCCCAATTCTGCACACAGCAGACATGCTGGAAGAAAAAAATGTTCATACTAAACTCTTTTTAGAACATTTATTAATTATGGTAAATTAATTTTTACTTTCCACAGAAAAGTTGTATGAAAGAAATTCAATTGGAAAGACGTTTTACACTCGGCTTCAAAATAATCCTGTAGTGGCAGGGCTTTCTAAAAATAATATTAAAATATGTAAGGCATGCTTTGACTTCAACAGTTTTACAGTCCCTCTATTAATGAAGTAATGAAATATCTGCTGTTTTAGGTATTATCCTACTTCCACATTATATCTAATTGCGTCCTGTGTTTCGTGTTTCACTGTTCATTCTAAAGAAATCTGCTTGATTGATATTGTCAGTGTTTCTGAGGATTTAAAATACTTGAATTACATCCCCTTCCTTTGTCTTTTTTGTTCAAGACTTAAAAGGTTCGGTTCCTTCAGCCTTTTAATGTATGACATTTCCTTTAAGCTCCAGAATGGTTGTTCCTCTCTGTACTGATTCCAGAACAGTGATATTTGTTCCTTATAAAGGTGGACACAATTCTACAAAATATCCTAAATGAGATCTCACTAATACATCATACAATTTGAACATTTTATCCATTGATTTAAATTACATACTTTTAATCATACATTACATTTTGTTTGCCTTTTTATTGTTTCTTTAGATTGTCTAAAAGATGTCTAAATGATGTGTCACCATACACAACTAAGTCCTTTGTATAAGGGGATCTGTTAAAGCTTAGAATTTCCCATTTTATATTTATAGTTTTATATGTCTTTGTTATCTGCATGTAATACTCTACATTTACCTAAATTAAATATCATCTGCCACGTGAGAGGTTTGCTAGTCTTGAATTCTACCTGAATCATTTTGAATTTTATCTGCTGCTTCTATCGTTTTTTGCTTACTCCCCAAATCTGGCATGGTATTGCAACCTAGAGGCTATACCACCATACATCACAGATAAAAATTAAGAAAAGCAGTGGTATTCCACTAATAACGTTATCCCAATTTGAGCACTCCCCCCGTATCTGTAAACACTGTTATTATGATTATTTTCGACACTACTCTACTGGTTTCTAATTCTATTACAACAAATCTCAGTTCGAACAGAATGTGAAGCAAATACAAAATGTGAGGAATGTAAAAACTCTTAAGCTGTTATTTTACAACAAAATGTATTTGGATATAATATTTTTAAGAAGTAATATTTTATTGTGGGAGTTGCAGTGGTGCAGTGTTTAGCATTGCTGCCTCGCAGCTCTGGGGACTTGGGTTCACTTCCAGACCCAGGGTGCTTTACTGTATGTGTGCTTGTATTTTCTTTCCATGTTCCTGTGAAACCTCCAGGTGCTCCAGTTTCCTTCCACAGTCTGAAGACACACTGGTAGGTTGATTGGCTTCTGGGAAAATCAGCCCAGGTGCTAGTGTATGTCTGTGTTTGTGTCTGTGTGTGCCAATCAATGGACTGGCGTCCTGTCCAGGGTGTTTCCTGTCTCGGCCTGTTGCTGTGAGGATAGGCTCCAGCTCCCCCACGACCCTGTATTGGATGAAGCTGTTAGAAAATGGATGGGTGTTCTATAGTATCATTCCATAATATGTTTATAGACTGCTGTGCAGATATTAACATTGTAGTTAAGTAATGTTCTACACTGTTTGGTGCTTGTGTTCCAATGTGTCAGTGTATTTTCAGGGGCAGTATTTTTAAGGCAATTTTAGTGTGAGCATGCAAGCTTTCTCAATGGGAATTGCTTAGGTCTTTGTACCTTAACCCACTTTTAGTATTTTTTATTTAAACCTTTTTCAAATAAATTTAAGTTACAAGGAAGTTTTATTTTAAAATAAAAAGTAATAAGTTGATGCAGACTAAAGTAAAATAAATCTGTCGCTCTGGAAAGCCTGTTGCTTCCACTATACACATGCTTTGGCATCAGGATTGGTACACCTGAAATGTCCCTTGTTGTATAGGATACCCAGCTTATTTAGGCTCTGATCCAGCAAATTACAGGAGCGCCCCTCAGAATCACACTTTGTGTGTGTCAAAATAGCTTGTAATTGCATCTGGCACATAGCCAAAGAATATAAATAATTCATCGGAAAACAGATAAAACCAGAACTCTGGGAAAATAAAATCCCAACGTCCTCTACAAATATAATAACCGAGTTTTATTGGAATACACGTAGCATGGATTTCATCCAAAAACAGAGACTTTCTTTGAATTGTCTGGCCCTTAGATTATTGAAGACACTATCAGGATTAATAATTAAGTACTGAGACTTCCAGTTTGTACTTACGGCAAGTACTGTTTGTCTCCCAGAATAAATGTCACCTTAACTTTTTTAAAGTGTAATGATTTTTAACAATAAAATGTAACCGTTTTTTGGGAGAAATACCCAATTCAAAAGTAAATTCACATTTAACAGTTGCCAGGTTAATTGAATACAAAGTTTAATATTAAACAGTGTTTATTTCTGTTCTCTACGTGTAATGAAATAGTTAATATTTCATTTATTATTTTTTCTTTTAAATGTTTTCAGATGTGTATTTTTTTTCCAAATTTAAGCAAAGGAACTGTAGGTGTAAAAACATTAATAAAGTAAGCATATCTGTATGTGTCGTACGATTACCGGCTTGGTAGTTTTCTGAAGTCATTCAAACACAATTTCTGTTACTCTAAATCTTTATCACTAAGTATATTCAAACATATTAAGTCTTCAAACATTTGCTGTGCTGAATAAATTGCACTTGATTTCAACCTAATCATTAGAGCCTGATTCCATATTTGACTTGACATACTCAGAATTGTTTCGTTCAGTGACATATTTAATACATTGGGATTTGCTCAGTTTTATTTAGTTAAATAAAAAGATGTTTCCACATAATTACATCATGTTTTTACCATTGTTTTGATTTTTATTAAAAATGATGTTCAGAGGAAAATGTACATATACAGTATATACGCAAATATGTATACCAGTAGAATTTGCTGCTTTTCAAACGGTTCTTAATATAGCGAAATGCTATGATGATTTAAAAAGTAATGCATCAATAATTATATTTTTATTTGTGATCTTGTTGGAAATTGTTTTTTTTTAACTAGCAAGTGCTTTTAGCAGTTGCCATATTCCTTTCTGCACCATTGAGAGTGAGATCAGGAGTGTAGAGCTCACTCGTCCCTGTCAAGCATGTGAAATATCATTTCTATATAGCATGCCCCATCATAATTGTTTCAGGGCACTTAGACAGACAGGGATTACTTAGATGCTTCTTTTTCCAACATATCTAAATTACGTCATAAGCTAAACTGGTTTTTGTAAGTACAGATATGCTCACCTTTATATGGCACAGAAGGTATCTCAGTGAAATGCAACTTTTCCCATCAACTTCAAGAAATTATTCCTAATGGAGGTCTTTTGGAATCGTTAACATTTCTTTATGTCCGTATGAATCATTTTGCATAGGTTAACAGGAAGCACAGCCTTTCAGCATCACTCGGTCAGGCTTCTGACAGTACAGGGTCTGCATCTTTAATGCAATAATAGCCTGCAGCGGCCAGCTAAATGATATACCAAGATAATCAACCTTTGCAATGACTATTCAGAAGTAATTTCTTCAGCAACATGTAATATAAGTATTTGAAGAATTTTGCTGAGACAATGTTGCCCTCCTCTTATTTGTTCTTCCTCATTCAGTTTAGACTTTCACTCAGTGGATATTAAATAAATAGGTCCATAGTTTTTTCACACCTACTTTGAATTTGAAAAGTAATTATAGTAATAGAAGCCTCATATTAACAGTTTAAATTGAATGCTCATAATGCTATAAACGTAACTGTTTCTCTAAAAATATGTAGAAAATGAAAGGAAAAATATTTGCAAATAAGATTTTTTGCTCCCATTTCAGTTGATTATGCCCCCTTTCACAATAAGACATTTAGATGAAGGAATTAATGAAATCTAACAGGTCTCACAACAAAAATATTTAAGAATCCACTAAGGTATTGGTGATGTCAATAGAAGAGACAGCTCAGCAATCAGTTTAGGACATTGAGTCACAAGTGGAAAGTAGGAGGAAAGTAGGAGAAGATGAAAATACAAGCCCCTTCTTAACAATTGTGCTTTTGATTAGCTACAAACAAGCAAGCAGACTGGGCAAAATGAACTGTTTCCATTTGGTTTTAATTTTTGTCAATGATTCACACTTGGTGAAGCAGATGTCATCATTTAATTGAAGCAGAGTTTCATAAAAAGGTTCAGTACTTTTTTCTCCATATAGTCCAGCAAAACAAAAAATCATTTTTGATCATATCTCTTCCACCCTTACAGTGTGTTGTCTGTTTTTAGGTTGGCAACATCCAATTGTGACAGTTTCCTTAGAAACAATTCAACAAATGTTTTTCTTGGTAAAATTGTTTTAAAAAACTGTAGGTGTTTGTATTTCATCAACAGAAATAAAGACAAGATCCACTTCTTTCCACACACAAACTGTTATATTTATTAGAACAGAGTTCAGTTAAATTTTCTTCTTTATTGTGAGGTTTATATTATTACTACTCTGGCTGGTTAACATTATTTTAAAAGATTTTACTTTGTGTCATCATACTCATATCATTATGATTGTGTAACCCAGAAGTACATGTTCTATGGAAGAAAAAAAATATTTTAAGAGTGCACTGAAGAGAGATTAATTGTTAGACGTTTGTAAGTCTAAAAGTTGCTTTATTTAGCTGTAGTATTTTCACTATATAAACATTGTAGTAGCTCTTAAATTATCCTGTAATTCAGAATTTTAAGCATTGATCTTATAAAATAGTTAATGGTTAGTTATTTTTGATAGAGTGTCTGCTATTGTATAAATACAGCTGAAAGTATGATGTACGGTTTCAATCGTTAAAATGACTGTTAATTTCATCACAGAAATGAGTTTGGCCCTTATCTTTTATGTATTCAATAAGCTAATATTCTGTTTTACACAACATTGTTGAAATTTGTTTTAGGAAAGGCAGTCTTTAAGTTAGCATAGCATTTAGCATTTTTCCTTCTTCCCTTCACCTTAGAAAAGCAGAAATACTTCACCTACAGAGCAACAAAACAAAGTCAGTCATACTGCTTTTGCTATTTGAGAGTTTTAAAAAGTGACGTCAAAATCATTCAGTTTGAAAACCAAAAACGTTAAATATTCTAACTTAATGTCTAGTGCTTATGTAACAAAAAGTTTTAATAACAGCTATTGTGAGACTAAGTAGTTATTTTTTTTATTTTTCTAGAAATATGATTTATTAGCAGTAATAACTTTTGTGGCAGTTATTTCCATTCTTATATTATAAACCCATGTATGTCTGTCCATTTTAGGGGTATTCAGATCACTTATTTGATAACTGTATTTAAATTTAAAGCAAATGATAGTGTATAACCTAACTCCAAAACCTTTCATAAAAATAATACTAAGGTTATTTAAGGAGCCAGTTCAGACAAAGTGTTGTTCAATTGTATGCTCATTGTATAAATTACTGATAGCTGTATGTATAAATGGCCATTGTTTAGAGCCCATTCTTGAGTTCAGTTCAGTGAAAAGGCAGAGAAAACAGGCCAGGCAAATTAATACAACCAGGGACATTTCCACTTTTTTTTTGGCATTGAGCTGCTGCCAGTTCTCTGTCATTCAATTTGAATAAATGTGATAAACCAAACTGAAAGTGTTTTTTTACTAAAAAAGATTTTAGATGTTTTCAAGAGGAAATAAAATCGTAAGATAACAGAGAGAGATTATTACAGCATTATAAAAAGGTAAAGTACATACCAGAGCCACAGTGGTTCGTCATGTCAGAGTTCTTGCTGGTTTCTGTAGCGTTAACAACAGAGCATGTGTCTTCCCACTTGATGAAATGCCAGTCTATCACTGGGATTAATTAAACAATATTCCACTATATTCTGTGTATTACAGTACAATCTAAGCTAGACCTCTGAGTACAATGTCTGAACCGTCTGAACCCTCATATTAAACCCTTATCGGCTCATGGAGTAAGAATGTTTTTTTAGACAACTGGCAGTGTCTCAGTTGCAGTTAAAAATAAGAAAGTAAGCTGTTCTGATTGACTGTCACAAAATTAGAAGTCAAAATGAATCAAACCATATCCTGGTCACAAGGTGTCCCTGTTGCATGATGTTTCCCATGGAGCACGATAATGAGGACGAGGTGGTAACCTGTCTCCACTCTGATGTTAATATGGTCTACTGTATATGGTCTCTGCCGTATTGGAAATGGAATTTGACAATTCCAATAGCCGATCTGCTTTCTTCTTTCCCACAGTGTATGCACTTTAGGCACCTTATTATACAAGGGAAGTTGGCAAGATTGCCCTGTTTCATGTTTTTATTTTTATGTGCAGGCATAATCCTTGCACTTCTGTAACTGCCAAAGGTAATTTTAACCTTGACAATCATTGGCATGGGCTCCATGGCCTGTGGCTCCACAGTCGAAACGTTGTGTTTCTTTTCTTCTCTTTTCAGCGTGGAATAAACCTTTACCTGCTCCTTTGCAGCCTACGCATGCTGACGCATTTACCTACATGAACTAATCATGGGGATCGCCATTTTGTCTCTTTTCATTTTTTAAGTAAAACTATTGAACAGCATGCTTCTAGGTAGGCTCCACGCATAAAAATATTTGCATTTTCTGCATAATGACCATGAGGAGAACTTAATAATTAAAAATAATTAAAGTAAAACTGCTTGTCACTACATTTGAAGTTGAACTATTCAATACGGTTCAACAAGTAAGAAATACTATGAAACAATTAAAATAGCACATACTGTACTGTAGAAAGAAACATTTTATCAAACATTTTCATTCATTAGAAACTTTTCCTCCAGTGATACAGAAACGTACTTTAATTTTTGTGATGAGGTACTCTGTTCTTAGTAAAGACTCTGTGATTATCGTACTTACCTCTTCTGAGTTCTTATAGTGTATGTTTTGACACATCAATATTTAAACTAGTAGATTAGAGGACTATTGCAAAAATTATTAAATTCCAAAACAGATTCTGAATAATAAATGCTAGAATTTACCCATTTGTAACAATAATTTATTTCCAGTAAAATGATTATAGTGGGGAAGCATGATTACAGTGGGGAGGCCAAGTGTTGAGCATTGCTGTCTTGCTGTGCTGGAGCCTTGGGTTCAATTCCCGGGGTCAGGTCCACGTTGAGTTTGCATGTTTTCCCCATGTTCACATGGGTTTCCTCTGGGTAGACGTACAGTACTATACTAGTTGGGTAATTGGCTTCTGTGAAACTGGTCTTGGTGTGAGTGTGAGTGTTTGTGTTTCTGCTTGTGCTCTGCGATGGACTGGCATCCTGTCCAGGGTGTACCCCTCCTTGCGCCCAGTGCTTCATGGGATAGACTCTAGGCCACTGTGATCCTGAATTGGATAAGTGGTTATTGAAAGTGATGGTGTGTCATTTTCACAATGCACATTAAATTAAAAAACAAATAATGTTCTGAAATATCTGTTTATATTTTTGTTCCAGATATAGTTTATTTTGCCAATATTAGTGTGGTATAAACATTAATTTATTGCTACAATCTTATGAAAAATTAGTCAATTTAGTAATGAAGTTCTTTTTTTCCCGTTAAAGGTTTTTTTGTCGTCGTGTCACAATTGTTTTCTGTGTTCAGCCTTGAAGTGTAATGTTTGACTTTTGCTTTTTAAAGCATTGGTAAGGCAATAATATAACCATTTCTATTTATTTTAACCCCAGGAATATTTTTGTTTAGCAAACTTGAGCAGTGTTCGTACCAGGGTGTTCTGTGGAAAACTGCATCAATAACACCATTTAATTGCCTAGTTAAGGGGATTATTACTTCCTCTATACAGTTTTTAGATACCGAGTTGAGGCAATAATTTTATACCTTAGGCCTTAGTTAATAAAGGCTGCATGTTTCATTGTGCACTTTTTGTCAGCAGTTATAATTCTCTGATTTCTGTTTTCAACAGAAAGAAAAAAGGAGGCAAGGAAAAACCGAAAGGATCAACTACAGATGATACAGAATAGGAGAATCACCAGTGAGCACCTCATTAGTCACAAAAGATCAGAAAGAATCAGATAAATAAATGCCTCTGTCGGTCTCCATGATTGTTTATTCTTTACCTTCCATTTTTGAAAAGACTTCAGTATGCTACAGTTGTCTCAACAATAATATCACCAGATTATTGTTAACATAAGAGAAGAATACTACTTTTGCTCCCATTTTTCCAGATTTCACTGGAATGGAATATTTCATGAGAAAATATATTATTATTTTTTGTTTCAATGTTTGTTTTCATTGATAAAACATATTGTGTTTTTAAATAAGCTCTAAGTTATGGTTTAGGAATAGAATTGCAAAAATTAAAATTACCTTCATAAAATATAGATTAAGTCCAATTAATCAAAATATATATTTAAGGTCCTCAATTTTGTTACACAGATTTAAGTTAATGTTGCATTTCAATTTAAATCTTAAATGTCTAATGACACAATGAATGCATTTTCAATAATTACAATCAATTAAATTCAATTCATGCACTTTCAATTATTTAAATCAATTAAATTCAATTGATATGGCAATTAGGTCATTAATTGGAATTGGTATTCATGGTACTGCATTTATTTAACTGAAATTTCTCTTGATAATACATACTTTTTTGCATTTTTTGCGTTTTCCCATATTTTATCCTGTTCTTGTGTTCTTACTGCATACAACTGATGCCATATAGAGGATTCTCAAACATAAGTCAATATTCACTAAACTGTGCCTGATGTACGATACATTCTTGATACGAAAGACAAGATATAATCCCTGTCATCATCTGCCCACATCTTGTAAAATCTTTTTCTCTATACTAAAAACAAAACCTCAATTGCTGATTTTACCAGAGGTTGAAAATATTAAGAACTTCATATACTTTTATGTCTTTAACTGCATATTTGACATTCATACAGTAATTGCACACATTAGTCAGTTATATAGCTGTTTTGTTTTTTCCTACAATCTCAAGTTTACGTTCTTGAACTTTGTAAGATTTAGCATATAGATACAAAGTACCTTAACCTGATCTATATACAGGCTATATTCCTTTTCAGTGTAGCAACAGTGAGCACAACAATTCTATTGATGAAATACAGTAGGCAGAGAAAACAATGTTCATAACCCCATTACTGTATTATTCTTGTCATTACTGTTGTTGTTGCAATAAACCAGAACCACAGCTCAAGTAAAAAAATTGTACGCAGAAAAATATCTGTAGGTCAGTTTGATTATTACCGAATATTCATTTTTCATTCATGTTTCTAAACTGAACATGTATAATCACTAATACTGTTCAACCGAGGTCTCACTAAATGTCACATTGGTGTCTCTGATCCTCTTGAAATGAATGCATAAAATTGAGCTGTCTTAATGTATATTAAAGGTTGATGGTAACTTCCATAGGTCTGCTTTGGCAAAAGCTAAATTAAATGTATTGCACCTTAACAAGATTTATTTCAAATATGGAGATTTTGGGGACACAGGAACAAAACAAAAGTGTTGTTGTTCTTGACTTGGAAGAAATGTGTTTAGTTTAGGTTCAGTGCAGTTCAGCTTTTCACCCAGTATAAGAACCCATGGGACCAGACTACCTTATTTACAAGGGCTTCTAAATGTTGTTGTTTTTTTCATACAGAAGCTATATGAGTCAGAGGAAGAGAAAGACCACAATGGGATTTGAATGATGACATCATAATGCAACTCTGACCACCAACAACAGAACCACAACATCATTTAAAAACTTTACTCATTAGGTTCCTCCATCTCTTGTCCTACAAACAGTTTTTACAATAGGTGTCCTGGATTAGTATATTTAGTTGAATATATACATGGAAAGGTCAACACGTTTAATTTAGTGCTTTAAATTAAAATATATATATACTTTAATTAATTTCCATCTAACTAAAAAAACTTCAAATTCACAGAATATTTTTTTATTTTTTTCTGAGATTATATTTAAATTTGAAACAGGTATAGCGTAAATGTTATTAAAGAATATTTTTTACTGAAAGATGGAAATGTTTGTAGCAATTAATCAGATTTGCCTTCACTTAAAAAACAACTTTAAATCATGTTTTCACTAACATTATTCCACAGTTATAACTCATAATGTTGATCACTTATTATTATAAAAGCACCAATCAACACCATACAGGAAAGCTCTTTATTCAATCGCTGAGTTTGATTAAATAATTCATTTCATATCACTGTTCTTGTATTTGGTCTTAAGGTAAACAATTTCACCCCTAATAATTTTAATCTGGGACCATTATAATTTATATAACAATTAACATTAAACAAATTTGATCAACCTTAAAGACAGCTTAAAATTACTTTTTGGTGCTGGTGTTGCAGTGCTATGGAGCTAATCTAGCCCATTGTGCCTATAGTTTGTAGTAGTGTAGCCTTAGGCCACTGGCACGAACAGCCTTGTCATTTGCTACCAACTGGGTTTCTTGATGAGAGTCTGACCCAGCCGACTCATCTGTCACCACTGTCTCATTCCTTTTATTTACATCTGTCTTTAGCATTCTAATTACTCCCTTTATTGCTTTAGCCTGGAGGAATCAGCAGAAAAACTAAGGACACCGGGTTTTAACCAATAATAAAAATACAACCCCCACCTACTGGCGCTAAATATGTGGCTTGTAATTATAAGCTACAGATCATGATCAGGTGTCACATGACCTCTTACATAATAAAACTATTCCTATTGACAATACCACCCCACCCCCCGACGCCAAGTATGTTTAGATCTTTACAGTATCTCCTGTACTAATAATATTTATTTGCTTGGACCAAACATTTGTTTCCTTAGTTATCTGATATGGACCTATGGACATATATTTTCCCTTTAAATTATGTGGTTCTATAGATACTGCATACTGCATACTGGCTGTCGCAATTATTTCATTTAAGTTTACAGAGAAGTCGTCGTCAAATGGTTAGTCGCTTTATCTAAATTGATTGGTCTTTAAAGAAAAAAATGAATTTCTTCCTTTTACATCACTGAATACTAACGCTAAGTGACTTTCGGGGCGCCTTTTTTGCTTTTTGTCTGCTGGAGCGACTGAAATCACTAATACTGCATCAGTGATATGGTTTCTCAAATGAACTTAACCAAAAAACGGATCCGAAGCTTACCCCCGAAAGCTTAGCACAATCACCGTTTAATGATCGTGCACACAGAAACATCCACGCCCACACAAGCAATTTTAACAGAGTTCTGTTTATTTCACAAACCGAGTCGCCTATGATCTTCGGCATTCTAAATCA